CACTATTTACATTGTTTGGACTGTTGTCCTCATCTTTATTGTCATATTCGCAATATTTTGACTGTTGTATGATCCAGCCTTCTTCAGGTGATATATGTTGGAATTTCAAACCAAACATTTTATTTCATTCACCTGGGTAGATTATTCTAGTTCTATGTGCCATACATTTTCTGGATATCTCAGTTTCAGTTATTCCCCTTTAGTAAATTAACTCTACAAGTTTTTGCTCACCTCTGCTGTGGCCAGGTATTGAACTTTGGATCAATTCACTGGATTACTTCAATCAAAATGTTCTGAATATGACAATAAAGATGTGGACAACAGTCCAAACTATGTAAATAGTATAAATAGTTACAATACCTTAACTTAGAAATATAAACTAATGCTGACAATTTTTACTGGGCCTTTTGTGTCAATTAGTATTTTTTGTAAAGGTCTTTGAAATATATAAGATTAAATTCTGCAATCTTTATTGTAAACAAATATGATATTCTTAGATGCCTACAAAGATGTGAAGAAGAATACATCTTTCATTCTAGTCCCTGTATTTGTAAAGGTGACAGAAATATTGATTTTATTATAATAAAATGATTGCTAAAAAATTAATCACCTTGTTGTTAATCCAAAAGAAAACTTGTTGCTTTATGTAGTTACATATATATATATATATATATATATATATATATATATATATATATATATATATATATATATATATAATTGTGTATTTGATCAGTGGTTCCTCTTTTAAACAAGTTTCATTAAAGATGACTAAAAAGGTGCTGTAATTAAGTTTTTTTTATTTAATTTTTTCTTGTACTCATATAAGTGTTTTCTTTTTCTGTACATGTGTAAAGAGTGTCCAAATCTTCTATATATCTTAATTCTTGGTTATATAGAACATTTGGACAGTTTTTACACTGTCCAGAAAAGAAAACATTTATATAGACACAAAAAAATTTAATAAAAAGTTTAATTGCAGTACCTTGTCAATCATCTATAATGAAACTTATATATATAAATTATGAGCATACCCACAATCAGCAACTTGATAGACTGGGTCTAAAAATAGTGGTTACCAAGAACCAAAGGAGGCCCACCTACAGCTACAATGATATCACTTAATTTTCATAGTGAATAAATAAAATTTTAATAAAATAGCATTTAAAAAAAAGGCTACAATTGAAATTTTTGTGGGAAAAAAATGCATATTTCTTCATAATTATAATGTACATTTACTGTATATATCACTGGCAATAGATACTAAATGTAAATACAGAATGTTTTAATTTTAAGTAATTGGTTGATATTTTTAAATCGTTTACCGCACAATTCATCCATTAACAAATAGTTCAAAAGCATAATAGAGCATTGAATGCAGTTCACTATATTAAGAACAATCATTTGTGTTCACTGGATGATTATGCAAATCTGCCAATAATTGCTCCTGTATCCAATTCATCTGACAATTCCTTTTCAATAGTTAGCAGCATGTATGATTTGAAATACTCCTCAGAAAGCAAATTTCTTAAACTTGTTTTTATGATCTTCAGCTTTGAAAATATCTTCTCACATTGGACTTGAGTAACTGATAGTGTGCAGATGACTTTATAAAGTTCTTATTCTTTTTATTACTAAAATAGTTGTCTGTGTTTGTTTTTTATTGCATTTTTATTTGCTATAGGAGGTTTACTCCATCAGGTTGCTGTGCATTTTTATATTTTATATTAAGCGGTGTGTTACTGTAGCATTTATGACTTTGACACAGTATTTTCTTGCTATAAATAAATAAATATATATATATATATATATATATATATATATATATATAAAACAGTAAAGTTTAAATGATAATCAGATGGAATAGAAAATATATAAGACAATATGGAAAATTTTTTTGACACATCATAAGAAAAAAATTTTTTCTGATGATGCCTATTCATTGGTAAAATATATCAAAATAGAATTTGTCCATCTTGTCTTATAAACACACACACACACATATATAAAAATCACGCATACACTCACTGCTTAAGGTGTTTATTTTAGTGATAGCTAGTTAAGCAATATTTATATGATCAGATTTCAAGCGAGTGACTATTTGGGAAGAATACTTATTTATGTCAGTCAATTTTTCATTTTTAAAGAAACCAAGTAAAACCCAGAGAAATGTTTTGCACCATGTCAAAACAACCAAGAGAAAGAAATGACCTGTAAACAGGTTGCTGTGTATTTCCAAGGCTAGATGCTGAATTGAAAATATTATTCAGAACTAAGAAGAAAAAAATAAAGCATTCCTATATTGAAAGTTGCCAGCAATACAATAAGCAAAGCAAGAAGAATATAGAAAATATAAAAAGAGTTTAGAATTGTATATGACATCTTTCTTTTTTAAAAAAAAGACTTATATATGTTATGAAAGAGATCTAAAGGCTAAATTCTTATGACAATTGAAACTTTTACAAAATGATTTCAAGTTCTATAATAAGTTATAATAAATAACACATTTACAAGTCTATCATTGATCTATGCATTGAATATTGTGGCCACATCTATTCTGTAGTTTATGCTATTTTAGTGATTAGCTACTTCAATAATTAAATGTATAAGGTTTCTTCCAGGAACATTTTATAGTACATGAAATAATGATAGTGAAAAGAATACATGTACAAAATAACAGACCATTTGATTTGCAATGCAAGATAACATTTATTGGAAAAATTAACAAAAGGAAATTTCAAAACAAGAGTTTCTTTTATTAAATATAAATTGTATACACAATGAAATGTTCATGAATATGTTATAGCAGGAACTTACTGTGTTTGAGTGTAATGTTCACAGCCATTTTAGCTTCAGTGTGGAAGTTCATGACACCAGTTCTAAAATGGAAATCCTGGAAGAGAGAGAGAAAGAGTTACTTTAGGGTTAATATGTTTTTATATTCAAGAGCCCCCAGCTATGGGTAAATAGCAGGACAGACTGGGTTTTATAGCCTGGGATGGCAACTGGTCTACCACAGAAAGAAATGGCAACCTACTGTGGGAAAAAATCCTACAACCTACTGCGGGAAAAAATCTGCCTCGTTACTCATGTATCAAAAGATACATGATCGCCTAAGCATGTATCACGCATGGCACATAACTGACTGATATTCAAGAGCTGCTGCTGATAATTTTATTTTAGAGCTACTACTGCTATTATGTTTAAGGTCACTACACTATGTATTTAGACTAAAATCAAAAGAATCTGCAATGTTATCGGTCCTATCCTGACATCTTGTCATCAATTCCCCCACCTTAATATAGTTTTCCTTTGCTTTTTCTATAAATATTTTCATGGTAATTGTTTTGATAAGCTTTCCTCTTTTGTACATATAGGAACTATTTAGGACTAAATAGAGACTTTGAGGTATACTTTGAGTTGACCATAGTAAGAATGTTAAGTAAGAATGTGTTGTTTTGGTGTAAGGAATACTGTGGTATGTTTGGGTTAGTAATCATGACTAGCTAAGTTTAAGTTAAGACAGATTGAAGGCCAGCCTTCCCCTATCCCTACTTTTTGGCCTTTTACCATATTTTTGTATAATTCAAAGAAAATATTGTTTTCATCTTTGGTAGCTAGATTCTATGAATTTAAGCTCAGTACTTGATTGGCATCTACGTCATATCATTTTACAGTTGAAAGGGCTAGATGTAACTAAAAGTTCTGTGCTAACAGTATTTTCTCTTGCACTTTCAGACTTTTGCTTTCCAGTCAAATTTGATTTTCAAAAATTTGAATGTAATGTCAATCATTATCTTTTGTTTTCTTGATTTCTGTTCTTTTATTCTTCTCTCTCCTTAATAATGTTTTTCTTTTTCTATTATTCTTTCACACTCAGTAACCCCTTGTACCTTAGTGGCTTTATTACCTTACTTGGGGTGAAATGATAAAAAAAAATGTTATATCATGATATTCATATAATTTATAGTAATAAAGAATTAAATCATTCCACTACAGCTTGATCATATACTAACATAAAAATAAGATGTGTAAACAAGATCAATATTTAAGGCTGATAAAAAAATTGTTTAATACACTTTCATGGCAAGGACATGCCATGCTTCTTACACAGTAGCAAACCACCCATATTCTCTCCATATTTCAGCAATAAGTTCCACTCGAACAGTTTCTTCTCACAAAACATTGCTCTGTGGAACCAACTCCCAAGAGGACCTTTCCTTGATCACTACAATCTTAACCTGTTCAAAACTAGGGTTAACCATTATCTTCCACTCCCATCTGTGCAAATTGCCTCCTAATATAACTCATTATCATGAATAAACCCATGGGACTTGTAAAAGAGGAACCTTACTATAAAGATAAAGCAAAAAATCATTGATTCATTTGGACCCATTCCTCTTCTTTTTGTTATTTTTATCATGATGTTTCAGCTTCTGCACCTTCTTCAGGTATCTGTTACATTCTAACTGATAGTGCTGATCAGAAACCTTTATTCAATTTATTAGGGAATATTGTTCTTATCTGTATACTTGCAGCATGTAATTTTAAAACTAGTCTTAATGAATCAATGTATAATGTAATATCAACATCTAAGAAATCCAGACAAAAATACATAAGGGGATCAAAAAAGTTTATTCTTATGAATATTAATTCAACTTGCTCCTAAATATAGTCTCTTCTCTTCTTAATCATTGTATGAGGCTCAGTTAAAAAGCAATGTCTCTTCTTTTTTGATTTGATTGATTGATTCATTTATTTTTTATGGCTTATCAACTCATTGCAGGTTATCTAAAGTCAGAAAATATTTTTAGATTTTAAGAATTTTTAGGAGATAATAATGATTTACTGATACAAGTCTTACTAATTAACCCATAGCAGGGGAGAGAATAGGTGAATTCATACCTTTCCTAAATGTATTTATATGTAACCTGACTGGAATTGGAACTCGGCTCTAAGATTTTCAATTCTGAGCCGTCATCAATTACACCACCCACAAGATTACAGCACCTGGTATTCCAAAGCAGTCTCCCATCTAGATACTGACCAGGATCAATGTTGCTTAACTTCGGTGATCATATGATAACTGGTGTTTCAATGTGATATGGCCATAAGTCTTATTGTTCTTTAATTACAATGGATTTAATAGTAAAAGTAAACAAAGCATACCAAATGAACACACAGTTTTAGGTTTCTATATCTTGTCATCAAAATCCTTGCATTTCTAACATGTTACAATAGCCAGTCAACAGTAATACATGTTCATTTCTTACAACAAATTTAATAGTAGAATCACACAGAGCATACTTATTTTAACAGAAAAATCTCAACTTCTAAATCTAATCCTTGACATTGTCTTCTTCCTTTATAATAAATAGAAATCTAGACAAAAATTCATAAGGGGATCAAAAAAAGTTTCTTCTTATAATCATCAAATAAGAAGTCTTTCCTACATGCAAATTTCTTTTCATCACTCAATATTGAAGGTCTGTAGATATTATATTTGTATTTAGTAAACTTAGTTAATTCTGGAACAAGACCATAATTGTGAGACACTCAGTAACAATTAAATTCATTATGCAGTAGTAATTATTTGCTAGGCTAGCTTGTTAACCAATTAAACCATAGCAAGTCATTTCTATTGATGGCCTATAGTTACAGCTAAAAGGATGATGCAATGATACTTATCCAATGAATTTAGGGATCATTCTAGTTATTAATCAGTTCACAAAGTATGGGTAAGCAGAGACTTATATGAGCAGATGAGTTAAGGGAGGTAAAGGGATTAGAGAAGAAATTAAACTAATTAATGGCTAAAATATCCATTGTCCTTGACAGAAATATTGAAAATTAACAGTAAAAATATTATTTTATTCATTCAAAATAAATCTTTAATCATGATTGGTAAGCTACATTAAAGATGAGACTGGTAGGCTTCTATAATAAACATGAGATTGGTAGGCTTTTACAATAAACACAAGACTGGTAAGAAACTATGATAAACATCAGACTGGTAGGCTTCTACAATAAACCCAAGACTAGAAGGCTATGATAAACACGAGACTGGTAGACTTCTACAATAAACACAAGACTAGAAGGCTATGATAAACACGAGACTGGTAGACTTCTACAATAAACACAAGACTAGAAGGCTTCTACAATAAAAAATAAATAAAGCAGAAATATGCATATTTTTGGATATGTGAATTGGATTAAGGGAACTTGTGTGATTTGGCACTTTCTGTAGTATCTCAGATATTTCACTTATCATCAGTCTCCTGCTTTTCCCCTTAAGGCAAATGTGCAAGTATACCTCTCTTTCTGAACTCACTTTCCAAACAGAATCACTGTGTTGTTGATCAAAAAGTAAGTTGTCTCAAGCTGAGTTGGATTCAATTCTGCTGCTGAGACAGCAGACGATTATTGTGCTCTCTCTCTCTCCCTCATTCCCTCCCTCCCTCCCTCCTTTCACCTGATTCTGTTGTTACTGACATATCTGTTTTGGCCTACTTGAACTACAGCCAATATTTGCTTTCTAATCATGAAGTGTGATGTGCTGATGCTGGATAATATTGATTTATTCTTGTGACACTTCAACTATTTTCCTCAAAGAAAAGGTAACATGCGGGCTTGACTACAATAACCAACCAACCATCTTCAACTATTTAACATGGCATTACAGTTGTAGAACAAACTAGGAAAACTCAAAAGTTAGATTCCTGAAGAGAGTAAGAAGACGTTTTGTATAGGTTATTCTAGAACTGTTTTAACATTTTTTGTTTCCATAAATCTTTATTTAAATCTAAAATCTATAAACCAACATGTTTATATTTCACTCTGAGGTTAGAATTCTAACAAAAATGGTTCATTGTGTATAGCTACTGAAAGCCATTGGCAACATTTATGCAGTATTGAAATTAATACAAATGTTTTTGATTAGATGTAGACTTTGAAAGTAAAATAGTGAGTTTAAAACAGATTTTTGTAAAAGTAACACATAACCTACATAGGAAGATGGATGGCTTACCAGGGTTTAAGAGAAATAATAAAAAAGCTATAAAGGACAGTAAATTGTGAAGAGCCATGATTGCCAACACACTGAAGAGACACAGTACATAGAAGAAGATATATTATGTTGAAATATTATCAAGTTAAACACAGTCAATCTGTAATAGTTTTTATTTCTTTGTAAATAGAGAGAGGTAGAAATAAAAAAAGATAGCAAAAGTCCTTTTTTTTTACTGTTATTCTCCCAATAAAAGCCACTCAAGATAAAGGGTTACTGAATGAGGATGTTGTAAGGACATATAAGGAGGGAACAAGGGTTGCATATGATAAGAATATATAGGATAGATAATGACTGACCCTAAACTTAAAGAAGTTAAGATTTTAGTGATGAGGGAAGTATCCCGCTAGCTATCCATTCCACATTGCAACAGTTCTAGGCAAGAAACTGCATGAGTGAAACTTACTTCTTACCAATGGAATATGAATGTAATGACAGTGAATTCACTTAGTATACATGGTATGGCATGACCTAGTTGTGAATTGTGAAGGTCTGGAATGATCAAACTGAGAAATGTAGCTTGACTGAACATCAGTAGAGTAGCGAGAGGTTAGCAAAATTTTGTTCATAGGAAAGGGGTTGAAGGGTGAAGAACAATTAATCACTCACAAGGCAGCACACTTTCAAACTTGGTCAAAGTTGGAAAGTCAGCATTAGGCAGCTCTGGCTTGGATATAGCAGCAATACTGCATTCTTGCATCTGGCTCTTATAGACAGAGCATGGCAGAAAAAGTCAGGTCCTTTCTGGAGTGATACAGGGAGACAACTATTTTTCCAGCATCTTTAGTTAGCAATGGATCATATATATAAGTTTCATTTGAGGCCTGGTGTGTGTGTGTGTGAGTTACAATAGGCATTCCACGGAAGGATCCTCTTTCAGAGTATAAAAGATCATCATGACTGGAGAAAACTTTGGGTCTGCTCTGTGATGATGAAATGTTACTAACTTGCTTTAGGAGATATTTTATCATACAAACAATTCTTCTCCCATTGAGTTGTGCAAGCAAATTCAGATGAGTGACCAGCTGCTATGTCCTAGTCATCTAAACCTTTAGTGGCACTCTCATTAACTGTGTTATTGTCTCTATATATATTTACTATTGATCTGTGAATGTCCTTAGGCAGATCATTTATATATAACGGAAAAGTGGTAGGCACAAGGAGAGAAACTTTTTTGTCATGCACTTATTTATCTCATGACTTAGAGGAAGGACTTGATAATCAAGAAGACTACCAGAGATGACTTCTCCCAACAAGTTAGGGACTGAATAACTTCATATGAGTAGGTTTCTGAATAAATATATGAGATGGGGCTGGCCCCTTGTATCTGAGAATGCCTGTCAATCCCTGTTGCAGACGCATGCTCAGACGCATTTGTATTTGTTCAACACCTACAGAGCCCAGTTGTGGTTTATGCTACAACTATGCTGAGTGAACCTTAGTTACAGTTTCTGGGAGAGAGTGTGTTATCCAGCATGATCTACAGTCTGAACAAGGCCAGCATGCTCAAAGCCCTCAGTAAGGATTTGTGATTTAATGCTAACACAATCACAATGGTTCCCCAAAGAATTCTGTCTACTCAATTTCACTCACAAGGCTTGGGTCAAACCAAGGTTTGGTTTTCAGGCACTTTCCAAAGATGCTAGATGACGGGATTGCCTCCCCTAGACTGATAACATCAAGAAGTCACCTTCCTGACAAATTGACCATGATGGCATTCAAATTCAGGTTTCATAGACATGTGCTTACTAAGCACACACACACACACACACACACACATTATTGTACATATATACATATATATATATATATATATATATATATATATATATATATATATAAGTATGACAGTTTTATTTTAATATTTGCATTTCTTGCCTGGCTGAATCAAGGGTTTTTTGGCAGCTGATATTTTTTAAGGACTTAGTTCCAAGTCTGATATCATATAGGAGAAGAGTAAAAGTAATTTATCCCAGCTTTACCTACAGCCAAGTTTTTCTTCTCCTCTTAAATACAAATGTTTTATAAGCAGGAATTTTTAAACCTATGCCTTTTTCGAGGAGTTAGATAATAAGTGTCACATATCAAATTTGAGATGATCCCATTAACTTTAAAGAGAGGCATGTTTATTATGGTCTATTCCCACACGTGTGTATGTGCTTATCCTTTTAACAAATTGTGTACACCTTAAAACAAAGTGAAAACTCCATCTAGTAATTCATAATATTTCCAACTTCAGACACTTTGAATTTAATTTTATTTGCAATAAAAATAAAGAATCAAGCTGATCCAAAATGGAACCATTTTTTTCTCACTCTATTAAATCATCAGGGCATTTCAGTTGTTAACTTTCTGAAAGTATCAGAAGTTGAATAATTGCGATTTTTCTGATAAAATGATTACCTCAGTTTAATCAATTCATCTACAATTAATGTACACATGAACACACACATGCATACACACACATGACTTGTATGTATCTGTTGTGTACATTTGAATCTTAGCAAGAGAAAATCAATCAGCAAATAGATATATTTGATTTGTTATATTTTTCAAGAAGTCTGATTAAATTGTTTCCTTCAATTCTCTAGTGGGCTGCTTTGCAATAATGTAAATTAATTCTCAAATGTCCTCTAAAGTTTAGCTTTTGCTTATAAGACTGCTTGCAATGACTGTGCTTGAATACTATCCTTAAGGTTACTACATGAGGAAATTATAAGTTATTTTACTTCTGGGCCAAGGAGTATAACTTAACACAACTTGAAATGACAGTGTTTCTTTTGTCTATTTTATATAGGAAAAGCTTTGAAGGGCAAATTAAACATTTTCTTATAATTATTTTTGTTTTTCCTTTTTAGGATAGTAATTATAGTAATGAAAATTTAAAATTAGCATATTTCCTATCTAACAAATCAGAGTCATAAGAAGCATTATTTCTTGTGGCTTTGTTTTTAACTTTATGATAAGGCACATTTGAATAGCAAAAGATGCCATTCATAAACTAAACAAAGTACTAAAAAACCTGAAATTTTTGTTAAACACAAAGA